AGAAACGATGACAGTCTTTGTTAGGCAGTCGTAGCGCCACAAAGTTCATCGTGTAAATTTGAAACGCAGCACAAGCTTTGTTGCCTTTCTGTCAGCGGGATGTATTTGGTGCTACGATGCCACGACGTCAACAACAAACATCTGCCATCCCCACACTACTACAACTACAACTGCAACAAGTACTACTGCTGCTACTGCTACTGCCACTGACGCTGCTGCTGCTGCGGCTGCTGATACTACTGCTACTACTACTACTACTACTACTACTACTACTACTACTACTACTACTACTACTAGTGCTACTACTACTACTACTAATACTACTGCTATTACTACTACTTCTACTACTACTACTACTACTACCACCACCACCACCACCACCACGACCTACTACTACTACTACTACTACTACTACTACTACTACCCCCACCACCACCACGACTACTACTACTACTACTACTACTGCTACTGCTACTGCTACTGCTACTGCTACTGCTACTGCTACCACTACTACTGCTACTACCGCTACTACTGCTACTACTACGACGACTACTACTACCACTGCTGCTGCTACTACTACTACTACTACTACTACCACTACCACGACTACGTCTACGACTACGACTACTACCAGTACCACTACTACTACTACTACTACTACTACTACTACTACTACTACTACTACTACTACTACTACTACGACGGACTACTACAACTACTACTACTACTACGACTACTACAACGACTACTACGACTACTACTACTACTACTACTTCTTTTTCTACTACGACAACAACAACTACTACTACTACTACCACTACGACTACTACTACGACTACTACTACGACTACTACGACTACTACGACTACGACTACGACTACAACTACTACCACTGCTGCTACTGCTACTCCTATTCCTAGCTACCACTACCGCATCCGCTGACGACTACTACTGCTGCTACTCTTGGCTTCCACTGCCACGGCCGATACTACGACGACGACTACTACTAGTACTACTACTCCTAACTACCACTACCACCTACCGCTACGACGACGACTGCTGCTACTGCTGCTCTTAACCACCACTACCACCTGCCGCTACGACGACGACTACTACTGCTGCTCCTGACTACCACTACCACAACCGCGACCACCACGTCGACTACTAGAACTGCCACTCCGAATTACAACTACCACCACGGCTACCACCACCGCGACGACTACTACTACTGCTACTCCTAGCTACCACTACCGCTACCACCGCGACGACGACTGCTACTACTGCAACTACTGCTGACTACCACTAGCACCTACCGCTACGAAGACGACGTCCGCGACGACGAGGACTACTGCAACTACTCCTAACTACATCTACCACCTACCGCTACGACGACGACTACTACTGCTGCTACTGCTCCTATTCCCATTACGACTCCGATTTCGAGCACGACGAAGACTATTATCAATACAGGACTCAGTTGTCATTGGACGCAAACCAGTTCACATTACGTAGTCCAGACCACTGATGAGGAAATAAACTCAGCTCAGCAGTTCAGTTCTGAAAGGTCTTCAAAGCTAGATCGATTCGCACCGGCGAGCTGGTGGCCATGAAGCAAATGAAGATCGAAAGCACGGACAGATCGGCTTTGTGTTCCGCTCTTGATGTGCGGCTGAGCCATCCGGTGTGGGTCAAATTGTTCAACCAATCTCCGGGACTGACGCGTTCGCTAAGGGGAATGCTTCAAGGTTGCCCGCAGACGAGCATTTAGCAGTTTCATGGTTGAATAGTTCGAGTTGTTTGATGCTTTCGGGACCAAGATCTATTCTTCCTGTCTAGGCCATGAGAACCCAACGTTGGCAAGCGTTGTTGAACCACTTAAGCAAAGGTCGGCACTTCCAGCGTCACGCGCAGACGGTTCAGCTCAAGCTTTGTTCAAATAAGATCAGGGACAGTTGGGTCTTCCCGGTGACCCACCTGCAGGCGCAGTCCCGGATCACGTCTATTGTGTACAGGCAGGCTGACAGCACCGTGAGACATGCGCAACACGCACACCGTATCCAACCAGTCCTTGTGACAAGCCCAGAGCACAGAAACAAGCAAGCCAGCCAAAAGGCCGGGGAGCTCGTGTTTGAATGGGTGTTCTTAAACGTGTTCGTGTTTTTGAGAGGTGGGAAGACATGCTCGAGACAACCAGCAAGCTCCAAGAGAGAAGTCACCAAACGAAATGACAGTGCGCTGCAAGAATCGCAGAGTTGTCAAGCAGTATCACATATGTGAAGCTTCTGCAGAGAAAGCACGTCTCCGTCTCAATTATAGCAGCCCTGAGAGTCGCAGAAATCACTAAACCGAAATCCCGCATCCCCGGTCTATCCACAACCTGAAATTCAGCAACAGCTCACGTCAGCTCTGGGATGCCACATGCAGACATGAAAGCTTGAATCTAAGAGCAGCAGCCGCCGAAAGTGGAGCACATATTCTAGACTCTTGAAGGAGGATGGAA